TGTATTTAAAATAGAAATATGCAGTATAGAAGGAGCATCAGAAAGAATTAACTACGGAGTTTTGCTAGTTTTGTTTGGTAGAGGGGAAAAGGAAGGTAAAAATCAGCCATAGCAAATAAGGACAGAGTGATCCAACTAGAAACCTGTTTACTGCCTCAGAAATCCTGATTATTCTCTGTAACTCCTTGTTGCATCCACCTGTTACTTTCCAACTCATTTGTCCATACCTCATCAGGGCATTTTTACATATTTACCACTTCCATCCCTAGAGATATAACCAAAACTAGGAATGATTCCAGTCACAACAGAAACACCATGCCAACAAAACTGTTGATCATCAGGTTAAGACAGGCTGAGAAGAGAGCTCACATTATGGTGAACCTGCAGCAAATTTAGAGGTTGCTGGGAAATGACTCATCAGATGGGCATCTGCCCATGAGGAGGGGAGGTCACCTTTGTTTCTTTCCATAGAATCTCTCCATCTCTTGTCATGTCAGAAGAAATAGCACAGCATGAGACTCAAACAGGATCCAAGTACAATTCTCAGCACAGGAAAACTGATGGATGCCATGCATAAACATTGCTGCAGTCAATTTAACAGTCAAGGCAGTATGTGAATTATCTTGGACCTGATTCAAGCAGGATATAGAGGTCATCTCTATGGAAGGCCCTGCATCCTGCAAATCGCCAGCAGTGAATGGAATTATGGTGAGACACAAAGCCTATCCTGCAGAACAGAGCATAACTGAAACAAGGAATGTGCTTCTGATGATGTAGAAACTTGGGTGGAAATAGCTAGAACCTGTGTCATGTACATAGGGGTTAACAAATAAATAAATAATCAAATTAATAATTAAGTATCCAAAATGACAAGTGTCCAAAAACCAGAACCAGATCCTTTTAGACCTTCTGCCTCTCCCCTCTGAACAGCTACTTGCCAGGGTGGAAAATCTGATATAATGAGATCAGCTTCGCTATTTTAGTCTCAAAAGTGCAGATGGAGCATATGTCTGCAGATAGTAATGTTATCTGTATTACTGCAGTGTCTGAGGACCCCAATCAGACACAGGCCATTGAACACTCAGAGAAAACTCTCAAAGAAAATTCCTGCCAAAAACAGTTTACCATGTGAACTAGGGGATAAAGCCTGTGGATTTAATTAAACTAGCTGAGATAACTACAGAGGGAACATGGAGAACAACCATAGGTGAACACACAGGTATAGTCAATTTTAACAGCATGCTGCAGAAAACTGTTACAAGCATGTGCTGAAGGGTTTTGTTTGGTTGAAACCCGTAGGTTACACTTTGCAAAACAGTTCTTTCAATCTTTGAATTAGAGGAAAAAAAATGTTAAAGAAGCTACGGATTTTAGTCAGCCACCTGCTTACTGGGAGAGAACTCACAACCAGCTGTGGAAATATGAACACTGTCTCACATTATACAAATACTATTACAACCACAGAATTTCACTGAAGGTTTCAACTAACTTGTGATCTCTGCTGGTAGGTCATGTCCAGCCTATAAATACATGAAATCTCTTTTATTCACCACACAGTAAATACCCAGAGCACAAAAGAGAAGGAAACCTCTTTCTAGATTTCACATTAATCTTCAGAGTATGGTCTCATCACACATGGGCTTTTTAAATTAAATTCTACCATATTAAGCCTACACAGTTAAAATTATACTATGATGACAACATAATCCACCTCCATCATCTTCTTCAAAACCTCCATTTAAAAAGAAGACTTTGTAAACAGGGGAAGGAATAATCCCCTGGAATGTGCAGCATGTGTAAACTAAGTTACCTGTTCTATTTGCTTTAAAAGATCACAGTCAAGTCCTCAGTGGGGGGATACCAACATTCTACAGAGTATCATTATAATTCATGCTGTATTTATTGTAAGACAACAGGTACACTGAAGTATCATTTTTCAGTTATGCAAAAAGTAGCATTTAAGTAATTTATTGAATATCTGTCATGATTTTAAAGGGTTAGTGGCTGATACAGTGGAAGTTAGGGAGTTCAAAATCTTTAGGGATAACAGTGACTACATAAATTGTAATCACTGTTAATCTAGTAATAGCAAGGTGGCATGTAGCTACCATAGTAACAAGCATAAGATCAACTGTTCGCTTCCAAGAAATGCCTACACTTCACTCAGCTATTCTGCCATGATTTTTAATGACATGATAGAAAAAATAACACATTCTGCAGTTTAGAACTCGCCCCTTTCTCTGCATTTCCTCAACAGAAGAATTCCTCAGAAGAGACTGTCACTGGTTTTAACGAGAATGTCCCACTACTGATAGGGAGACAAAGTTTCTGGAGTCATGAGCAGTGACAGACCTGCCAATCTTAACCTTGGGAGAGTACATGAGAAACACCACAGAGACAGCATGCACCCAAGGAAGAATCACCTTCCCAAGTATTTCTACAAGAGCTACACACAGAGATTACTTTGTGCTGTAGTCATAGTAAAAGGAGGTCTTGGTATCAAAAGGTTATACTTTTTCTAATATGCTCTGAACCACTGTAAGTAACTCCAGTTAATTATTAATAGCCACCTCTGTTCTTTGCACTTTACAGACATCTCTATCCAATCTCATTTATATTATATTCTCACACATACAGAACTTCAACATTTCACAAGTCTCAGTATTGGGGAGGGGGGAAGAGGGATTTAAAAATATAGGAACAGAGGCAGGGCAAGCCACAAGGCAGAGCCACAGGGGCACTCAGGGCTGAAGTGACAAGGATGTGGTGTTTTTCTGGCTTCCCATCCACTGTTCCACCACCTAGTTAATATCTATACCTATAACGCAGATTTTTTTATTACTATTTATTTATTTTATTTTTAAATGTTTCCACACAGGCTACTAACTGAATAAATGAGAGAGTCAAGACAAACCTAAGAGAAAGGAGGGTGTAGCTAACAGGTTTGTATTTTCAGGAAGGAATTAGGCTGGTGTCATATCAAAATATACATACTGTTCTGAATTTCCTTGTTATGGTAAAAGCTTGAGGAGTTCCTGTAGGCATTACATTATAAAGTTATACACTGTTAAGTATCTTCATCTAGACATTTAAATCACTCTTATGGGATGTCTGTCTGAGAAAGTCCGGCTGCCTTATGGCAAAGCTAATCTTCGCATATCTGTTTCACTTTTTATCCTTGCACCTGCCTGTATTAACAAGATTAAGAATTAAGTTGGCAGAGGGCTGTCTGTCAAGGAATACCAATTTATCTATTGAGTTAATCATCAGAATTACAATCAAATGGAGCTCAAGTCCTGGACAAAGAGAAGGTGTTTATTGTGTTATAATTCAAACTCTAAATGGAAGGCCCTGCAGAAATCATCCTTGTGGCAGGCTGTGTCACCAGACTGTGCAGAGGAAACGACGGGGAGGAAGAAAGAGACACCGGAGTTTTCTTGTAAAAGGATATTCTTATTTAACTGTTAGGGCCAGAGGGAAGATTTTGCATGTGATCTCTCTACATAATCAAAAAAAAAAAAAAAAAAAGTAAAGAAAGTCTGCCTTCTGGATCACTTGCAGATCCAAGTGAAGTCATTCAGGGAGTGTTTAAAAAGGAGCGCACGTGCTTATCTTTGTGAGGCCAGGCTCCATTCACAGAGCTCATATCTCGTTACCCCAAGTCACAACTTAACTCACAATTGAGTCAGTACTGTCTGCTTAAAGGAATTTCTTACCATCCATCTCCAAGCAGAACCTGCTAGTTCAGGGAAGTTTTTGCACTTGAGGCAGACTTCGCCATATTTATTAATATAAGCTGCCACAACCTCCATGCTTGCAAAAGAAAACCCAAAAAACATCCATGTACCTGCTAGTAGGGAATGAATTGAAAGGGGAAAACAGTGCAGCAAAATAAGAAGTTGCTTTTAAAGTTGAACACTCCAAAAAAAGTGATAAGAATCAGATTCAAAGAGGCACAGGAATGTTTATTATTTGGGGACCTCTATGAAGCTTTGCAATTTATCCATTTTGCTGATATGCTGGAGGTAACTGCTATGAGAGGCCATCCCAAAGTTTGGGAAAATCAACCCTTTGTTAGAAGATCAGACTGAAAATAACAAAGCATTCACAGATCAGTTTTATTTACTAAAAGGAACAGAGTGCTAATGTATACAAAATATAGACAGGAGCAAGATGGATCGCAAATGAATCTGAAACAAACCACTTTCAAGCCAGGCACAGGAGAGTGGCTCCCTCCAAGTGACAGCACTGCAAGGAAACAAACGCTGTTTGTTCTCAACCGACTGCACTTCCGCCTCCTCCCCTTTCATTCAATACTTAGTGCTAGTGATGCTCCCTCCATCTCCATGACATGCTTGTTGCAAATACTTTTACCTCGGTGAGGAAAGCAGGCTGGAGAAAGCATATGATCACACGGTAAGTTTATGCTTATATTTGCTGGCGTCAAGGGGAAAATCCCTCTATCAAACAGGTCACTTAATTAGCAAATGCAATTACGTATTAAGTATAACTGTGTGGAGCATGTGGATTTGGGGTAAATTCAGCAGGGGAGTGTGTGCTTAAGGAGCAACTGGGACAGCCATGTACATCTGCAACCTTTGCTTTAAAAGCAGTAAATGCTGCAGTCAGAAAAAGAAAATAACTTCCCCCGTTTTGTCCTTTGTGCTGGAAGTCTGTTGCCCGAATGCTATTGCTCCTGAAGGAATTCAGCTCAGACAAAGTCAGCTGAAACAAACCAGAGCCCCTCACCCCCCTCCTATTATTCGGTACACAGTTCCCTTCCCGCTAGCTCACAGTTCTGACAATGCAGGGAAAGAGGAAAAGAATGGCAGAGGGAAGCAGAGCACAGCTGTACGTTGCAGAATCTCTCCATATTCAATTGCCAAACAAAGCCAGTATTCGAAAAGACAACGAAGATGCAATAGGACCACACTGAATCCATGCCTCTGAGCAGCGACGGGCTCTCTAACAATGCATTCAAGCAACAGATAGAGATTTACCTTCAAAATGCAGGCCATGTTCTTTCTCTATCCTTCCTACCACAGAGCAGCAGGATTCTACTTTGTGAGCAGCAGTTTCAGTGTCAGGCAAAAGGCTGGTAGAGCTGCAGAACTGCTAGTGCCTACATTCCTGTAGATCCAAATAAGGGTACCACGCATCCAGGATCCGTTAGTCATATTAGTCTTTTTATGCCCCGTTTGTTCCACCCATCAGCTCCTGCCACTGGCTGGGGGCCAGCCCGGTACCTCCCCTCTGTCACGTGACCAAGTTTGATTCATGGCTCCAGCATATTTTTTTGTAAGCTTCAGGACGCTCTCGCACAATACTATACGTACAAATGGCAATCTGTACCTTGCAGATGTTTTGCAATGGTTAGAAATCAAGCTGCGTGTTTATAATTAATCCCTATGCAACTCTCTAAATGTTCTCAGGAGACAGTTGCTGCCAGTCAGTCAGAAAAGTCCAAACTCTTTCTATTATTTGGGCTCTAAAAATCCTTACACTGCTTGTTAGTGTGAACTATCATTTTATGTTCAACCCTTTTCATTGTACACAAGGCTTCCCTTTGTCTGAAGGCTGCAACTGCTTCCCTATGAGAGATAGTCGCTATCAGCTACCAACACAAATATCCCACCAGACGTGCTTGCATCGTGCTGCATGTACCTTTTTGTGTAAAGGGCTGGCATATATCACAGGGAGTGAGAAGCGTGGGTTGGTTTGTTTTTTTGTTTTTTATTTGTGCAAGTCTGATAAAGGCTCTCTGAACTTTCTTTGGAGTTTCTTACACTGCAGTGGGATTAACTGCAGGTTAATAGACTCAGCCATTAAAGAAGTCTTTCACTTTGCATCATCTCATCACATTAAAATTCTTCTCTTACATGTCATACTCTATATATTATAAAGGTTTCACTTCATATTTGTCACTTCTGCAGTCTCTTTCTCTCCCCTCTACACTTTCTCAGTACTTCTCATTACTACATCTTGGAACCCTTTGCACTTTCTGTACTTGGCACCTTCCCGGTATTCCTTGTGTGCTGCATTGTTTCATTCCTGCTGCTTTAATACACACCAAAGCTCTCCCTCTCTCTCAATAAATTCCTTGTAGTGGATGTCTTCATTCCCTCTGCAGTGACTCAGTGTACCTGTTTACATGCAGTCAATACACTCCAGTTAATGCTATGAAACTGCTTACCATGGAGCCCCTTAATACATGGAATTCAGAAGTGGTTAGTCCTGTGCTGTACATTTAATAACCAATACAGTTCCTGTCTGGCAAGCCTCTCCTTTCCAGGTGCAATCCCTCAAGACAGTAAATAGGTTGAAACTAAAGGAATTAGATGTCTTCATTTCTATGCAGGGATAAATCATTCCCAAGAGCCAAACAGAAAGGGACTGGGGAGGCTTTCTCCAGCTCACACTCCTTGGCTGCCTTCCTGTGCACGTTCAAAGAAGATGCCAGTTTGTGTTTGGCCTTTGCACCACCGCTCCGGAGTGCTGTAGTTTTACACAGGTGCTGCAAACTCCTCAGCATCTCTCACCACTGAAAATCCACCTCTGCTCAACTACAGCCACAAGCCAAAGCTCTTGATCTGAAAGCTGTAGTGTTGTTGGGGAGACTAATGGAAAAATCTTACTGAAGTTTCTAACTATGAGTTGTCTAACATAAGGAAACATCTAGATGAATCAGTGGAAGAAGCTTGTGAAGGAGGGACCTACAGTCGTTTTTTACTAGAAGTTACCACCAATCAGTATTACATCATTCTGGATTGCAGTTTATGCCTCTCTAAGGACTAGTTATTCATAAAGAGTTCTGTAACAAAGCTCTGTTTTTAAATGAATAAGGTACACAAATTATTCATTAATTTCCTTTTTTTTAAAAAAAAAAAAAAAAAGAGCCTATTTTTCTCTCCAGCAGTCAAGCATTTAGTTTTTCTGAGACTGAAACTATTCCTTCCATCTGTGTGGTGGGCATGAGAAAGGTTTCCATGTGAGACAAATGAAAAATATTCCATCCCCTTCCCACCCCCAGCTTACCAACTCTGTAAAGAACAAAAGGAATGAGACTTGGAGAGAAACTGTCCTGAAAAGGTCAACCAATTCAATATGTCCAAAGCATTGAGGGATTTCCAGTGAATTATATTCCTTAAGGAAAGGCAGAGATGTGGGTAGGTGTCTTGTTTTAAGCATTTCTCTTACATGCTTTGATTATAAAAACCAGATCAGACACAATATGATGACCTTTAACTTTCAGACTTTTTGTAAATGGACACGTTTACATTACATTCCATCAAGAGCCATCCTTCCCTCCCTCCCTCTGTGACTCACCACACCTTCATCTGCCTGCTAAGATGCTTGTATGACACCTTTTTAAGGGCATAACAAAAGTGATTTCTTAGATTGTCCAACAGGCAGCTACAGCCCCTCTAAATTTTCTTAGTTAAGTGAAATTCAGTCAAATAGATTTTCTGGAATACTAAAAGTGCTCTAAGCACCCATGAGTTGCTCACAGTGTGCAGCAGGTCCCACAGCTCCTGTTGGCCATTCCCAGCCAACAGGGACAGCAGCTGTTTCAGAAAATGCTCTACTGGTTTTTGTAAGCAAGCCATGTGAAATATGTTTGCTCTCTGCAAATGCAGGCAAAACTTGATTTTTTCTTTTGTCCAGAACTTAATTAGAGAAAACCTAAACCTGTGCTTTTCAGATAGGTATGCACTTTTCTTTAAGGAGAGGTATGACATTCCTCTTTATTTGCCCCTGGGGAATAGAACTGAAGGTGCGACTCTGGCCAAGATCACTGAACAGCAGCAGAAACCTCAGCCTTAGGCTGACATAATTTCACCTCAGAGAAACTACCCGAAGAAATGCATCCACCAAATGATAAAAGAAAACAAACATTGTAAGCACATCTTTTCCATGAGCCTTATTAAGTGTTTTACTTGAACTTAAAATGTTCTTAAAATCAGCTTTAGGTCAAACATAGCTCACACAAATTTCACTCATGCCTGCAACTTTCTGTCCAAAATTAACACAGTTGTTCTTGCCTGGTAGGGATGTCAAAGGCAATATGAAACTGCCTTTCAAGCCTGAGTCATTGTGACAGGCCACACAAAGTCACTACTTCTAGTTCTGAGGACAAAGACCTTGCATATGTGCCATCTAGCTTAAACCCTTCCAATACATTCCTACGGAGATGCAACCTTGGGGAAAATATGATTGTTTGGGCAGCAACCCTTTTAAATTCTAGGTCTTAGAAACTAATTCTGTCATAATAAATTAATCCTTTGTGGAGAAGGCTGATTAAACCTTAATTTGCAAAGATTAATGCAGTTATATAATACCAGCATTCAAGTAAGTGTTTCCCTGTACTGCCAATGTGGCTAGTTGTGCTGGGCTTGGCTGTGCCATGAATATTGCTAGATTGGTTTGTTAGGGGAATGGACATCATGTAGTTGATGAAGCTGTACTTTCACCTATGATAAGACCTTCAAAGCCAAAACCTCACAAATAGGTAACAGACTTAAACATTAAGTTAATTTGTTAGTTCCATACTCTGCATTTTAAAAGTGCATGCTTAGAGAAAGTCTGAAAACTATCATCTTTTCACTAGCTGTTGAAATCAGACACTGGCTCGTCTAGTGGAAATGAGCCAAAAAAGAAGAAACTATTTTTACGCTTGCTGCCACTACAAAGTTTTAGCAGACAGGGATGACACAAGATGGCATTTCTCATCCTTCAGGTGCAACCTGAGTCGGTGGTGGAGTAACAGATCTCCTCTACTGTTATCCAGACATCTCATCTTCCCAACCTTCTGTATTGATTTTTCCTTACCTCACCATTAGAGGTAAGCAATACAAGGTACATGGCAGCCCAATGGCATGACAGAGGTAGAAGATCAGATGATAGACAGCAGGCTATGATTGAACAGGAATTCTTATCAGGTTATCCAAATGTTACATGTAATTTTAATTTAAACCTTTTCATAAGCCTGAATTTTCAGGTAAGAAAAGAGGATAAACCAAGCTAGTGTGCTTCATGAACCCCTGCTACACTTTGTATGGAGTCCAGAAGCTGAGGAGAACACATGGGTCTTGATACACCCTGAATTCTACCTTTACTTCTCAGAAAATCTTTACAGCTTAAAATAAACATGCCATATACACAGTAGTGGAAAAGCCCAATCGGAAGTATATATTGCCCTACCCAACTTCCTTCTCAGTACAATTCATCTATACCTTTTTCAGCCACAGGACAACCATGCCACATTTCAGAAAAAAAAAAAAAGTTTCGGTGTGAAATACTTCTGCATGTTTTACTGTCAGGAGATGAGGATTGCTTGGCACCATTAGTGCTATTAGAAATTCAGCTCATCACCTCCCTCACTATTATTCAGTGTCATGGTAACAATTTAGCATAGCCACACAGCACTTTCAGACCTTGCATGTTCTTGAGCTCCACCCCCTGTGTCCCTTTCTAATGCACACATAGACACACATTCAAATCCATGCCTCCCAACTTTCTTTCAAATACACATTCTTAAAAAAACCCAAACTAACTCCAACAGTACAAAAATAAAAAAAAATATCAAGTGTTGGTCAGATCTAACAGTTTTAGGAAAATAGTTTCTCTTTATTCTCTAACACAAATCTTTGAATAAAGTGAACACTACGCTACTTTCTATCTATAGAATATAAAGTATATAGTCTGTCCTGCGTGAATATTCAGAGATTAAAATGCAAAGGTCTAGAAGTTCCTGGAAACAGAACAAAGAAAACCCTACAAATCAGTAAGCTTTTCAGAATGTTGTCATTCCAAACTCCTCTGAGAACTTCAGGTTTCTGGTTTTGAAGTTGCTTATTAAACAGTAAATGTTTTACACTGAACTGCAAATAGATCTATTTTATATTAAAAGTGGGTCATATCTGTTATCTGTAAACTTGTTTTAAGAGAATTAATGTAATTTAAAATGCAGCAAAAAAAAATGTGCTCAGAGAAGAATACTGTCCATCTTGCCAGGCAGCCTTCCTCTTATTAAAACAGACCAAGCAACTCTGAAGAGTGCTGTGTCCGCTTATGCCACCAGCTGTTTTGCCTGTATAAAAATAGTAAGATAAACAAACATGTAACTTACTGCAGTCTCTAGGAGAAGAAAACCCACCAATAATATCTTGAAGGGCATTCATAAGCTAAATGATATGTATGAAAATACACTGTCATTTCAAGGTAAT